TGAGAAGGAACTCACAAGAAGCTGAACCCCCAAGGTCCTCACAATTTGCTTTCTCACCAGCTTATCTGTACCCCTCACCCGTGTTTGGAGATAAGATCCCTGAACCACCCTAAATCTCACATCTGTCGGTGTGAGACCGATGACTGGCCCCAGCCCCCTATAGCTGAAATTCTGTCACATTGAAGAGATGGAAAACTCAGGTACCAAGATCTGAAGAGACAAGGCTGCTGGGAGCTGCAGAGGCCTGGGCATCTTCTCACTCCTCCTCACATAGCCATTTAGCTGCATAGTTCCATTGGTTAATTGCTTTCAGCTGCAAGCCAGGCCCGAGGGCAGATGTCCCTGCAGTGCCCTCAAACTGCTTTGGAAACAGGTGGACAAGCAGATTCCTAGACCAGACAATCTATCAGGTTCATCCCAACCCTTAACAATCTCTGCATTAAAAGCAGTATTAGTTATAGTTAGTCTGTATAGTCAAGTAGTTGAGCACTAGCCCTGTCTAGGAGTATCTGTTCTCTACTGAAACATCTCTTTCAGGGGATTTTCCTGCCTTTTGCTGTCTTCTACAGCTCTCAGTTTCCCTTGTGCTCCAATGAAAGAACCTCTTCTGCTGCACTGCACTCAGCTGAGCTGAGATCAACCTTTGCTGCTGTTACATCCAAATTCAACATCCTGACCTCAAACACAACTCATCAGACTAATTCAACACAGCAAACCAAATCCCAGGCTGGGTCCCTGAGCCCTGCCACAGCCCTCCTCAGTGACAGTGGGACATGCTGTGGGTCTGTAGCACAGTGGGAGCCTGGAGCAATCCAGGCTGCAAACCTGGTTGTACCTGACTCCAAAGTGGTGGCAATGAGGGGAAAAAGTCCTTATTGTTTTGTGTATGGCTTAAAGGTGTCTCCACCTATACGGACAGCTTCAGCTGGTTGTCATGTAATTTAAATCTCCTATTAAACCCAGGAGAGTTATGTAGAGTCCTGGGAGCTGATATTCTCTCTCTCCTTTCCAGGCCTTTGCTTTCATTGTCACTCTTCCTTTTGCAGGTATGCTTACCTCAGAGTAATCTGTAGTTCATTCTGCAGAACAGTGGGGCCCAAAAGCACAAAGCACATAGAAGTGTGATTTGTTTGTAGATCTGACTACCCATCACTACCATTGGTGCAATTATGGCAGTGGTACTGGTGTGAGTTTGAATTCGGTCCCTCCAAGGTTATAACATCCTGACCTCTGTTTCCCTGAAACTGATGATTTAGCCACACACATTTTTCATGCCTTTAGTTTGAAAATCTTTATATCCTTATGGTTGTTCGTTAGTCACAGCCTCGAGAATCAGCTGCTTAATTAATTTCTACCTGTTCACTCTATTTCCAGTTACACCTGTGACTAAAGAGGAACCTGTGATTAAAGAAGACACCTGACCAACTGAGAGCTGAAAAGCTTCTGGGAATATCCTACTGGATAAAGCTGAGGAAAAGGCCACAGCGATACTCAGGTCTGGGGACCTGCTTTCACATCCTCCTCCCGTGGCTTGTGTTCCTGTCAGGTTCCCATGAGAGGCCACTCCAGCCTGTAGCCACTGGAGTGGGGAGAAGCAGGAGAAGCTGCTGTGGGCTGCAGTGTTCACGTACTGCTTGGATCAAGGAAGGAAAAGACCATGTTAAGGTGAAATGAATGAAAGTCCTTCCCAGGGAACCCAGCAGGCTGGAGGAGAGCAGGAGCCCAAACGCCTCAGGCTCCTGGCAGTGTATGGACCCATCAGGAAGCTGAAACTCAAACTGTGTGACTAAAACAGGTATGTATATACTTATTTATGTGACAAAAAAGGATGTATATGTATTTATTTACATTGCCCTCATGGCTGGGGGGACAGTGTCAGGAGAAGTCTTGCTCTTTATACAATGCAGGCCCAGACAGACACCAGTGCCTAAGGTGGCAGCAATCTCTTTACTTCTGCTTTGGGCATCTGCGATAACAAAATGCTGCTTTTCTAAACAACCACCTTGTTTAGGAGACAGCAAAACATTCTGAGCAGCTTTTCTTGTGCTCTGGAAAGCTGTGAGCAAGTACAGAGCACTGGGAGATAGGAATGGTGGCCAATCTGGGTGGGAGGGCTGGACAGGGAGAACTGTCCTGAATGCAACATGCGAGGGGCACTCGGCTCTTGCTCCATGCTCGCCGCGCTCGGGGCTCTCTGTGAATTCCCAGCACGTGGAAGATAAGGCAGTGCAGCCGTTCCTCCCCGGACACAGGCTGATAAAGCCGAAGAGCAGACACAGCAGCTGTGTGAGCTGTGCTGGGGGAGAAAGGAAGCTCGTGCTGTGGTCACGGGTACCAAACTGGTGATGCATCAGGTTGCAGTGGTGCTGTGTCATCCCCACCCACCTAGGAACATCAGGGGCTGGTGACCTCCTGAGCAGGAGCTGACTGTGCTGCAGACTCAGCCAGCTAATCAGGAGTCTCTCCCCACTGTGTCCTTGCCCTTACCCTGAAGCAGAGCAGCATGTTATGCATAAACCACATTTTCCTTGGCAGTGGAAATGATGAGTAGTTTGTGTTTTGCAGGAGCCCATGGTGTCAGTTACCCCAGCAGAGTGTGCACAGGGTGCTGCCCCTGGACCCAGGGTTGGCCTGATGGCACAGCTGAGCTGGGCTGGGCCCTGCTCCCTTCTGTTGTCTCCAGCAAATGCTTTGCTTCATACCTTATGAAGGGCCCTTCCTACTGGAGGCTATGGAGAAGATCTGCACACAGGTGCATTGCAGCTGGTGTGTTCTTCAACACACAAAGCAGTTTGAGCTTTCACATCACTCCCTCTGCACAGACAGCCCCAGGTCCCCCCGCTGGCTCTGGCACCAGGCAGTCCTGGCAGCCCTGTTATTTCTGAACCTGCAGCACCTGTGTCATGAGACCCTCCCTGAGTTCAGGAAAAATCAGCCAACAGGTCTGGGAAGTATTGGCACACACAGGAACACATGCAAATAATGTACAAGAAACACAGCAATGGTTTTGCAAGTCTTGAGTTTACTTCAGCATGTGGGTTTCTCTTGCTGTTCTGCCTTCCCCTTTCCACTGCACTCCCTCCTAGGGAACTTGCAAAAATAAACACTTTTTCCAGACCAGTACACAAACCAGACACACAGATGCACAAGCCTTTTTTTCCCTGCAGTTTTCTGCAGCCTTGGTTTCATAACTTCTCAAGAGAGAAGGTGTTTTAAAACCCATGATGCAATCAGACCCAACACCTGGCAGGGAGATGTGCTGAGAGGAGAGGACTCCATGGTGGAAGAACATGACACTAATCTGTACAGGAACGACAGTCCAACCTGTGCAGGAAGGCAGAGGCACAGATCAGCCTTCCAGAGAGCTCTGATGTCTGCCTGGTGCTGCCCAACAGCACGCCAGAAAATGTCACTGCTTCATTCGGCAAAACTGAACTTTGGAAGGAATTCACAAGGCAAAGCAGAGCCAGGACAGATGCAATTTGCTCACCTCTCCCTTCAGCTCACCACACTCGAGACTGTTCAGCCCTTGGCCTCAAGAAGCAAAAGAGAGACTGAAAGGCTTGAATAAGACAAACTTGACAAAGGGCAATTCAAAGGATGGAAAGGTGAAGGGTCACAAGGTAAGGACAGGTACAGAAGCACAGGAACAAAATGACACTGAAGACATCGCACACTCACCCAGGAGCAGGACCCTCCCCTGCAACCCAGAGATTTGTCAGTGAAGCACAAAGCCAGGCCAGCACAGGCAACATGCACTACCTAGCAGGCTTTGGGGTATTGAATTACCTCGGATTCTTGAATATAAAAGAGTTCAAAACTTATTGGCTCAGGAACTTTGGAGAGAACAAAGCCTGTAAGTATCCTGAATTCCTAAAACTGGAAAACATTTCAAGTAGCCGTGCTGGTAGGAAATCTCGGGTGATGCTATCCAAGGGGTTTTCCAGCTGCCTCCAGGCCTCATGCAGCCGCAGCAGTCGCTGGTTTGAGTGGCTGGTGAGCCTGGGCACGGGAGGGAGCAGCCCTGGGCCAGGATGGCTCGGCCGCAGCTGGGCACAGGCTGCCTGGCCATGCAGACACGAGTTCCTGTGATCCTGCCCAAGGCTGCCTGGCCAAACAGACAGGAGTTCCTGCGATGCAGCCCAAGGCCTTGGGTGCACCTGTCTGATCTGGCTGCAGGACCGGCAGGCAGAACGGGCGCGTGGAGCCTGCTGTGCCGCCAGCAGGATGCGGTGCCGCTGCAGCCCCGGGGCTGCCCCTCTCCGGGGGTACTGCTGCATTTGCCAGGCAGCCCTGCCCACCAGCACAGGAGGGCACAGGAGCTGGGCTGCCACGCCACAGGACGGGAAGCAGCGCGGGGAAAGCACTTCCTACCACAACTCTTGGGCGCAGGGGCGAGGGCTGTGTCGGCGGGGAAATAACACT